ATGGATATTTTGGGTCGACATTCACCTTGATTATATTGAGACTAAAATTAGTTTCCCATGTTCGAGGGAAATTGATATTGGCAAGAAAAAGAAGTAATTTCCAAGAATAGTAGCAAACCACAAGTATTTTAGAAGGGGACAATTTCAGTGCGGACTCTATAAATATTGAACTTGAAACTTGAAAAAAAAAAAAAAGAAAAACTTGAAACAAAATATTTAATTGTTAGCTTGAAATTTTAAAAAAAAATGTATGAAAAACGAGTATATTCCAAATGACAATACTGTTTAGGATATGATGAGATCTATACTGAATGTATGGTAATGACTTTGAATAAATTGAGAAAAAATTCACAAAAAGGTGAGCTTGGGGGCTGACGACTCCTTCTGCGCCCCGTGTATTTGTCTCTGCTTATTCTTAGTCTGAATAATATAAACTTTTATACTCGTATTACTCCTGATTGAAAGAGAAGAGAGACCGATCCGTATCGTAGGGATTTCGGCGCTAGTATTTCACCTCTGGGTAAAGAGATTCAAATGCTGGTCTGATGGAATTTGTGGTGCAAAAAGCAAGATCGTAAATATTCGCTCTCGAGATTGCCTCGTTCTCTTCTTCTCATTACACTATTGCTCCATCATCATTGTCACCTGCCAACCGTGTTGATCCTTTCACTCAATTTAGATTCGTGCAATCTGCAATGCGTCTAGGCGACATTGTTAATAGCCAGTTGCTGGGCATCCCTAGGCAGAGCAGGGTGATAAAGGCATCGCACCGCAAGCGGGGGGGGGGAGGACAGGTGGGAAGGGAAAGGCGGATAGTGAAGTAGGCGACTATGTTGAGGGCGAGACTGGGGCGGGTCAGATTGATTGGTTGATTGACGTTTATGGGCACGTCAACTGCTATGGTTTCGATTGATTGATTATTGATTCCGGACACGTCAACTACGAACGTCCCGTGAGTGTAGTGCATGTTATTGCTCTGGAGGGCGATGTTCTTCCCACACTGTATGGCGAGACCCGGCGCCGACCATCCGTCAGCTAGCGGGGTTTTCCCATACCAGGTATCTCCTACCAGCAGGGCACGGCCTCAGCCAAGACAAGCTCTAAACTCCCGACCAGTATCCCGACATGTGCGGAAGTGTGTTGCATGTGGGTGTAAATGTGTGTGTAAGAGGTGAAAAAAGGACAAGGAAGAGGTAGGAAAGATCGCGCGTGGTTCTTCTTCCGTTTGGTAGCGTACTGCTCCGGCATGCGCCTGGTATTGATCGAAAAAAAACACGGAAAACTACCGATTAGAGCAGCCGGCCGCTAGAATTCTCCTACAGACAGCGACTGAATTCGAACTAGCTGACAAGCTACTGTCGAAAATCCGTGAAAGCATTGACATCAGTTGATGTCCTGAGGCATCTCTCCCGGTCAACTGCTATGGTCGTTAGTCCCGTTAGTGTAGAAAATATTTTATCCCGGAAGTGGCAGTTTTACTCCCCTGCTCCGGTAACATTCACCGCCAACTTACTGGTTTTCAGGAGATTTCCCTCTTCAGGTATCTCACCCAGCGAGATACCTCATTGTGAGAAAAGTCCTACGCTCCCGATTAATCTCCCGACGTGTGTGGTAGTGTAATTCAGGTAAGTGTAAGTGGTGTGCTTAAAGGGTGAGGATAGGACGAGGAAGAGGAAGGAAAGATTGCGTGCGGTCCGTGGATTGTTTCTTAGGGTACTGCTTCAGGATTCCCAAAGGGTTGATCGAAGAATCCACAACAAGCTACCAATTTGAACAACTGGCTGCTAGATTTCTCCTCTAGGCAGCGGCTGCATTCGACCTCGCTCTCCTGTGTCGAAAATTCGCTACCGTCGGGATTCGGTTGAGAGTGAAGCGAAAGGAACGAGCAGGGTTAGTTCTTAATATATGGTTGCGATAAATAAATAGGGGCAACGTCGGTGATCAGCTGGGATGATATATGAACAAGAATGCAATTGCAGCTGCTGCACAACTGCCGGTAGAACTAATACAGGCAGAATATCTCGATGTTGCAACAGCGTAACAAATCTAAAAGATTAACTCTGAGAAGACACGGAGCGTTTCTCATATGTATAGCATCTGCTCCTCTAATGGATGCACGACAAAAAGCAGAAAAAAACAAGCTACTTGGCTTACGTCAGTGCGGCTGTGTAGGGTAATATCGGACTCCATACTAAGTTGTCTCTGGAATTCTTCTCAGTGCCATTCTACTCGTGGCACAAGTACCAATAAAATCTTATTTTCCAACTTTACTCTGGTTTTATTTTGCCCAAGAACTAATTAGTGACGTGCTTTAATTTTACTCCAATATACTCCAATAATTTGTCTGCAAGTATGAGAGGATTTACATTTTGACCACTGCACACACCTATTGAAGGTTGTTTAAGTATCAGTTCGGATAATTGGCGTTTAAATAATAGGAATGACTATTTTGAAAAATATGTAGGTTTTGTCGGAACTAGTAAGTTAATATTCGCAGCAGCGCTTCATACGAGTGAGAGAGTGAGTGAGTGCGTGAGTGAGGAGAAAACAAGGGTTTCGATAGAAAGATAGCCCGAGGCTCAGCATCATCACCGTCTGAGTTTATGTCATCGTTTGTACTGTCTCTACAGCAATTCGGACAGGGAAGTTCTAGGATTCGAGCCTTTGCTAGATTGTTTATCCAAAGGCCCTAGAGTTGCGGCTGCAAAATTTCGATACTAGCTAGACAGCTACAGAGATGGCCACATTGTTAGACTAGAGTTATTGAATAAGAGAAAATGTATTTGCGACTGTAGATATAGACACACTCGGTATAGTGTTGCAATGCTTTGTAAACATTTCATAATTAACGTACTTGTTTTGAGGTATGTTGATTTTCAATTTTTAATCCATTCTTTCAATTTGAGTATTGTTTTGCGAGATGCAAATGAGTTGTTTTATATGCTGTTTTTATAGCCTTTTCAGAAGTTCTTTTTAATAATCGAACGAACATTTTTGATGAGATTCATGTCAGGGATATTTGCAGCTCTTTGGAATCGAGACTGATCAAAGTCTTGAAGATGTTTTTCAGCTTTCTTTCCTGTTGTGATAGAGAGCGTAGTAATTTTTTTTTACCACCTCATTTATGTGAGGAGCCATTGGTTCTTTAGGGCCTCTAAATATTTGTCGTGCTCATTGTAATATGAACTGTGTATAAATTTTCAATAACATTAAAAAATATTACACTTCAACCAGTCACTTTTGTCACGTGCTTCTCAGAACTCATTATTATCCGTTAAGTCAGAGAAAAACATATTTATACTAATAATTTGACTATCTCTGTAAATCGAATTCAGCCCCTCTCTGGAGGATAATTCTAGCGTACAGTTTTTCTATTGAATAACCGGAGCTACCAGTCAGTAGGTCTAAAGAAAAAAGGTCTACGTACGTAATGTCTAATATTTGAAGTCTAACGACACTTGGTCTACACTAAAAGGTCGACGTAATAAATGTCTACACATCGCACTTGTCTACATGAAAAGTGTCTAATGCAAGTATGCATCCTAGTACATGCAGAAATGTCTATTGTCTAATTATCCGCAGGTAAAGGGATCTAGATGCAAGATTACAAATATTTTTAGATGCAAAATACAAGTCGGTCTACATATCAAAAGGATATACGTATGAATGTTTGTTAGACTTGCTAGTAAGCATAATTATAAATGAATGCTTAAATTAAAAACAATATATTTATAAAATATATGCTGTACAAGAATAGACAGTCTCATTAAAATCATTCATAAGATTCTTCTACTTCATCTGCTTGCAATTTCAGACGATAACTTAATTCTTTCAAGTAGGCGAGTATTTCATTTTACTGTCTACAGTTTTCATAGAGCGACAGACGGAAGCATAGAGAGTTAGACATTTCTGTTAGACCTTTAGCTAGTAGACATTTAGCTAATAGACTTTGTAGTAAGTAGACATGTTTGTTTGCAGACATTTTAGCTGTAGATATTTCTCTTGGTAGACATTTTAGCTATGGACGTTTAATAATCAGACTTAATATAGCCGGAGACCACATTTTTATTTGATATTTTTTCCGTAGACCACATTTTTATTAGACACGTTTTCTGTTAGACCTTAATACAGTTAGATATTGAGACCTACTGACCTTGAAGCATAACCGGAGGTGTGGGAGATTAGAAAACCTTTTTCAAGAGTGCGTGCCACCCGCACTTGATTTAATTGCCAGTGGCGTGAGGGGGGGGGGTTGGGCGCGGTGTCTCACCTCGACGCCGGTGAAGCGCTCGAAGTTGGGCGCGTACTGCTGCAGGTCGAGCACGGCCAGCCACTGGCGCACGTCCAGGTGCGGCTTGGCGGCCGCGGGCGGCGGCGGCACGGGCGGGGCCATGCGGCGCGGCCGCGACAGCGACCCCAGCGACGGGAAGCGGAAGCTCCACGCGATGCCTGCGCAACACACCGCAACCGCACACAATTAGCGCTTTCGGAAAAGAACTGAGACTGCATCCAAACGTATTATTGTAAGAGCGTAGGCTTCCGCGGCCGGATGCAGTATTTAATTGGCTGTCCTGGTAACGCCGCGTCCATGGCGAAGGTGCCGACGTTTCGGTCGCCATGGACGCCCTGAAGAAGGTCGCAGAATGGCGACCGCGGCGTCACCCGGACAGCCAATAAAATAATATTATTGTAATACAACGGGAGGAAAAAGAAATGATCTTCCACAAATATAATTTATTAACTAACTGTTAGTCAGTTACAACATTACACAGATAGGCAAACATGTTTTGAGGTATTTTACCTCATGTTCAGTGTCTTCAACAGGATATTAAGGAAAACTGTAGAATGTAAAACATACATTTTAAAACTAATAAAGAACACACACTATTAAAAAACTTACGAAATATTATTATTTTCCCAGGTAACATGGTCAACATGATTCGTGACGTGTTTTTTCACACGGTGCTCTACAATTGGTACTATCAGCTTGGGTATTTCCTTTTGCCGAGTACCAAAAACATTGGAAGACATAAAGAAGGCAAGAATCATAAATTTATTACTATGCACGTCTACACTATAAAGTTTTCGTTGCCTCCTCAAAAATCTCGAATTTCGGCTAGCTTGGTTCTCTTGTAATATATTCAATTTCATATTCAGTTCAAATCATCCTTATTATACTCATGCGTGACGAGACTGAGGCCATCAGGCCTGCTCCTCCGTCTGACCAAGCAAATTTCGCTACGCTCCTTTCACCATAGCAGAGAAAAAAGCCAATCACTTGGGCGACAAAACAAGCGATTTGAATTTAGTTGAGAAGATTATTTTACAATTAAGTATCTTTTACATGCAGTAAATCTACAACATTGGACAGCTGGCTTTACTACCCTCCCCCAAAAGATGAACGAAGGATTTTTTCGACCTTAAAAATCTACTGCTTCGATCAGGTCTAAACCTGTAAACTTGGATATAAAGGTCCGATTCGCTAATCGTTACTCCACCGAAACCACATCAACATATACACTCATGGTGACTCACTCATATCAATCAAACAAAATCGTCGAACTGCTTAACCACGCTCCGGAATGTCTCGGAAGATAAGAAGCTCGAGACGCCGATGGGCCCTGGATGGATTTCCCTCTGGAAACTCCGGAAATTATCGGCGCCATGCTCTTGGCCGACTGTCATAAAAGGCAAGGACACCATGTCAAAATGACTACATTCCAGAAAATTTATTCCGTGTTTAATGACTTATGGCTACAAACAAGGAAAATTACTCCATGTTAAATGACTTATGACTATTTTCAAGGAGAATTACTCTATGTTCAATGCGGAATAAAGGATTCGAACATTCGTACGAGAGAAACAGTCTTCCCGCGTCGGACAGGAGACGAACATTTCTTGAGTTTTCTAAACTTAGGCGTAAATAGTGTGCAACGGCGATAGCAAAGTGCATGCCTTTCTTATTATATTACAATCGTATTTAAGTTTCAGGATTCCAGCGATGAAGTCTTGTGGAAAGTAATGCTACACAGTTCCATTATGCGTCTTTCCAGAAAAATGAATTTATTTTATTTTATTGTTGATTATTACAGATTGAGAAAATGTAGTTCGAAAAGAATATAGTTTTGAATTATGTAATTGCTCTACAACAAAATAAGTAAAGATTACAATTCGAATTAAAAAAAATTAAGTCCTACGAGTACTACCTAGGTTTCATAAAATTTTCCTTTGTATATATATATTCTAATATATTGTTCTTTCGAACATAAAGTTGCACTTTCGTTTTTCAACTTCAGGCATTCCTTTCTTGCGCTAACAAAGTCCCATCGTGTGGACACCTAATCATAAAAAATTGTAGCACGTTAAGAAACTAGGTTCGAAAATTTATATATGTGAGAACTGGTAATTCACTTTCAGTAATACCAAAAAAGTATGCTCATGAAATCACCAAATTCAAATTTCGAACAAACTACAACACAAACGTTTTCAATGCGCCAACTCCTTGGCAGTGGTGGACGAGTGCTATTTCTGAGAGTACACGAGAGAGGTCGCTGATGTCTTAATGATCGTCGCTTACGAACGCATATTTGCCTTTGCCTTAATGAAACTTAATGAAAGATGGTAGGGTGATCTGAAGGGAAGAATTATAATAAATGATTATGTATGACATAATGTTCAGATGATATGTTGGCACTAGAGGGGAAGTAGTGATCAACCGTGCCACAACTACAAGGTGACAACACCCATGTATATTATAGAACGCGAATACGACGCTTCCGGCTGCACGTAAGTGTATGTTGCTCCATGTTTCTGAGCCACTGAGATCGGCCTAAACAGAATATACAGAGACAATTCTGTATGAAAATACCATGATTTTACAACTCGCAATAAAAATTATGCTCAAACATACAAACAGCAAAATCAAGCCGGAAGAAATTGTATTTTCAGAGAAAAGCATATCATTTAACGATATCGAAATCACATAGTACAGAATGCATGCATTGTACAAAAAATCTGTCATCAAGCCAGATCTTCGCAAGCTATGGGCATACACTGCACTCTCGCTATGGGCAAACACGCTTACAGTACGAATGGATTAACGTCGTTTTAACCGTACATTTAATGATTACATAATTTTTACTATTTTAAAATATTCACATTTTTTAACAAAAATAATTTATTTTATGAAGTGCGTTTAGAGAAATACAAGTCTAAGGCCACTGGAAATCTAGCGGAAGCAACACATTAATAGATTTTAGGAAAATGTCTTATAATGTATATACTCGTCTATTCTATCTCAAATAACAAACCCATTACAAAGGATGTTGTCAAAGACATCAAGCGATTCAGAATTACCTGCTTTCCCTCTTCTCCTTTTTAGGAACAGATTAAGGCCCATTGTGGAGAAGTATGACAAAGAAACGAGACAAAAGAAAAGGCGCCACCTTTCGCCTTTAATTTGGGACGAAAGTTCGTGTAGGATGAAACACGCCGACAAGGCCTTGCAAGAAATATGTAGTTGATACGTATTTGGCACAAAGACAGACAGCGCCATTGTAATCCAAATCGGAGACTATTGCCAAAGCTCGCGCCGTAAGTTACGTTTACGACTTGAGTCGTGATCTCTAGCAAGGCGCTCTTTAATTCCTCTGCTACAAAGATGTATTCGATTTCTCTCACGCAAGAGTTATGGAGCTATTCTTCATAACTAGAGGTATCACCTGTGGAGAGAAACATTTTGTTTCTTTCGGTGCTTATGTGTCTTCATTTCTATATGTTTTGCCCATTCGTTTGTTAGGCCCTCTCGTTACTTATCTCCAATTAGTGTAACCCACTCCTCACCTCCAACACGATCGCAATGTTTCTTCCCTTGCGTGTCGTACTCGCTTCTCTCCAACGCTTTATTGTTCCTCTCCTTAACTACGAATATCTCTTGAATACTTGATTTATGACCTCCTGCACTGGAGGACCCTTCTTCTCGTGCCTATTTTCTGACTATTTCTTTTTTGGCAGACATGTAACGAGATTCGACGAATACTATTATCATACCGACTATTCACTAACGCGCTAATTATACTATAAGTCTCAAAAATAGCTAATTTTGATTATCGTGTGAAGTATACCCAGAAGAAAATAAAAAAAACTTGACTAATGCAAATATTATGAAATGAGTGGAAACTTGAAATTGAAGAATTATATATCAAGAGACTGGGGAGATTAAACTTGGTATCACCCCAAAATAAATTTAGTTAACAATTGTGACGTTCTAATAATGGTGTTCTTCTCTCACTAGAAAGGCGAACGGAGGTCTGTACGCAGGTCGAACAAGGTTACATGTAACACTTCATCTAATACGTGAACCGAATACGTTATCTGGAAATACAGTTTTATTCAATGTAATAGTGCATTTGTTAAAGTGTTATATTATATAAACGGCCCTTATTGGCCTGATAACTCTGTTTCATAAATTGAAACGCATGGCGTATCAAGGATCCAACAAAAATAAATAATCCTGTATGTTGGTACTTGTCCAACCCAGCATTTCCGGATCCGTGCTGTAAAATTCATGTTTCCCCCTCTCTAAAAGAGTCATTTTCTGGAATCTTGTGATTGGGTTTTGATTATCGAATTTTACATCAGGGAACGTTTAGTTTTTGGAATTTAATTGCACTTGCTTGGACACGCTTCAAGTGGGGGTGTACCAACTGTAAACCGCGGTCAAAGTTTTGTAAACCGTTTACCTACCACCAAAAAAAGGGCATACCTCGACTTCATGCCTTTCGGTTTTCCTCCTTACAATTAAATTGATCCACTTATAACTTATCCACAAGTCTGTTTTCCAGAAACATTTACTTAAAATGGTAAAACCTAAAATGAAATCATCTATCACGAGCATCTTGTTATCTCCTTTACATACAATTCCGAAAATTCTTCCATGTTCACCTGCGTTCCAGTTTTTTTTCTGGATTGCTGCGAGAACATCTATACTCGCTTCTGTATGCAAACTTGACTAAAATTCTTACTCCTTCCGAAACACTGGTTGAACAAAACGGACTGGAGATAGGCCATGCCTTCTCAGGTAACGAAAAGTGAAAGGGGATTAGCTAGGAAACGAGGGTGAGAAAAACTGACTGCATAAAACAGATGAGCGATTCTCTGCTCCAAGTTACCAAACGTACTTTTTTTTCCCGCTTCCCTTCCTCGAGAACATGCTTCATGCATGAATGCATAAATGAGGTGTATGAACTGCATTTATACACCTCCGAGATCCAGAGTGCCCTGGAGATTTGCAGCTCCATTTTTCTGAAGAAAATAAGAGTAGTTTTCGCGTTATTTCTACTTCAAATTAATGCAATTTATAAAAACAATTCTCAAAAATCTTGGAACCTTGGAACCAAATGTTTTCTTTAATTTTTTCCTTGGATTAAAAACAGTCACACTTGAAAGAA